TTTCGCAAATGTCACTTTTCAAGAAAGAAGTCGATCGATTGACAAATGCGGGTATTTGGAAACCTGTGAAGTTTTCCCAATGGGCTTCGCCTATTGTACTAGCGCCAAAAGCTGATGGTTCCATAAGAATTTGTGGAGATTTTAAACAAGCAGTCAATGCGCAAATTGACATTGAACAATATCCTTTGCCCATACGCGAAAGTCTTTTCCATAAAATTAATTGCGGTCAACATTTTACAAAAATCGACCTTAAGGACGCGTATTTACAAATGGAACTTGACGATGAAGCAAAAACAATAATGGTTGTCAACACTCCACTTGGGTTATTCCAATACCAACGTTTACCGTTTGGGATTGCAAGCGCTCCAGCTATATTCCAAAGATATCTTGAGCAGTTACTTCAAGGCGTAGAAGGTTGTGGAAATTATCTCGATGACATCATCATCTCCGCACCTACATTTCAACAACACATCAGCCGCCTAGAACAAGTACTTCGTATTTTGCAACAAAATGGTATCAGGTGCAAGCAAGAAAAATTTTTCTTTCTGCGAGATAAAATCGAATATCTCGGGCGTCAAATTAGTGCAAAAGGTATATTGCCAGATGAGTCAGGACTAAAAGCAGTCAAAAACCTGCAGCCGCCTAAAGATCTAAAGCAAGCAGAAGCATTCATGGGTAAGGTAAACTATTACCATAATTTTATACCTAATTTTTCGCAATTATCCGCTCCAATCAACATGCTGCGCCGAAAAAATGTAAAATTCACATGGGGTACAGCACAACAACAAGCATTTACAGCTCTTAAAACGCATATTCTCAATGCAGCGCAATTAGCACATTATCAGGAAGATTTACCGTTGGTTCTAGCTACAGATGCCTCCTCCTATGGCATAGGAGTCGTGCTCTCGCATACGTACGTTGACGGTACAGAAAGGCCTATTGCTTTTGCATCTAAAACTCTCGACATTCATCAACGACGATATAGTCAGATAGAGAAGGAAGGGCTAGCTATCGTTTTTGGAGTCAAGCGTTTCCATCAATATTTATACGGAAGAAGATTCACCTTGGTTACTGACCACAAACCTCTTGTTAGCATTTTTAATCCAATTCATCAGTTGCCGTCGATGACGTCACATCGTTTACAGCGATGGGCTATTATACTAATGGCTTATCAGTATGATGTTCGGTATCGTAAAACTACTGAGCATGGAAATGCCGATGCTTTATCTCGTTTACCTGTTGGTGAAGACAAAACTTTTGATCATGAAGAATCCTGTTTCAACATCAATGAACTTAACACACCTATCGACGCTGAAATAATTCGTCAGCATGCCAAAAATGACCCAATTCTTCGCCGAGTTTATTTTCTCGTTACAAACGGTTGGCCTGAAAAGCTAATGCCTCAAGATGCTGATCTTCGATCATTTTTCAATCATCGCTTTGCTTTAATACTTAACAACGATTTGCTTTGCCTCCAGACGGAGTACAACCGGGTTGTCATTCCAGCCTCCCTTAAGCAGAAAATTCTTAAACTTCTTCATGATGGTCATTGGGGAGTATCGAGAATGAAACAGCTAGCTCGACAACATGTCTGGTGGACTAATATTGACAAAGACATCGCACAATTAACTGAAAATTGTGATGTGTGCAAAATTGCAAATCCTGTTCACGCACGTGAATACGTAAGCTGGCCTGAAGCTGATCGACCTTGGGAGAGAGTACATATCGACTTTGCTGGTCCATTTTGTAATTCAATGTGGCTAATTTGTGTCGACGCTTTCTCACAATTTCCGTTCGTTGTACAACTATCTACAACAACAACGGTTGACACCATATCAGCATTGTCTTCTATATTTTCTCTGGAAGGTATACCAGGAACCATCGTAAGTGACAATGGTCCGCAATTTACAGCTGAAGCATTCAAACATTTTTGCTCAAAACTTGGCATCAAACATATAACAACAGCGCCGTTTCATCCAGCCTCAAACGGGTTAGCCGAACGATTCGTCAGATCTTTTAAAACTGCTGTTAAGAAAAACATTGACGATGGATTGTCTCTCAAATTCGCTGTATCAAAATATCTTGCAACATATCGTGCAATGCCGAATGCTGAGGGTAAATCACCTGCAGAACTTTTACATGGAAGGCCTGTTCGTACCTTGTTGAGTCAACTGTTTGAATCGCCTAGGAAGCACCTTGAAGCTTCGAAACGGAAAATGAAATTTAGTCTAAAGCAACCCGTCTTCGCTCGAAACTACGCAAGAGGGGAAAAATGGATAAAAGGAGTTATTGTGAAACAACTTGGTAAAATGGTTTACCGAGTGAACACATCTTTTGGTTACATCAAACGTCATGTTAATCAGCTTAAAACTAGAAGTAGCTCTGACCTCTCTTCACAACCAATTTTTGAATTCGCTCCAAATTTCATCAATGCCACACCGCCTTCATCTAGCCAATCAACATTAATGCCTAGTGAAGAACGTTCTACCGAAGTAGTTCAACTTCGAAAAAGTGGTCGTATTCGGAAGGATGTAATTCGATTTGAATCCGACGATTTCAGGAAAACTTAAACTTTGTCAAAAATTAAGGGCGGAGAAAGTGTTATAATCTAGTATGCTTTGCATTAGTTTAAGCAATGTTAAGTAATGAAATGTAAACAAAATTTAGTTAAATATAAACTGTCAATCTGGTCGGTTGTATTTACT